CACACACACACACACACACACACACACACACACACACACACACACACCCCTCCCTTAGGGGCAGCTGTGTGTGGTCGTTGCTCCCTGAGTACTGTACGTTCCAGGACACAACCTGGACTCAGATGTCCTGAGCCCCCAGAGCTCACACTAGAGTCCAAGGGCCCCCCTGGTCCCTGCTGTGCTGACCCTGTGTTTCCTTCCCACCCCTCCCCCACCTCTCTCCCTTTTCTCTCTACAGCTGGGACGACCTACATCTTTGGGAAGGGCGGGGCGCTCATCACCTACACGTGGCCCCCCAATGACCGGCCCAGCACAAGGATGGACCGCCTGGCCGTGGGCTTCAGCACCCACCAGCGCAGTGCCGTCCTGGTGCGGGTGGACAGCGCCTCCGGCCTTGGGGACTATTTGCAACTGCACATCGTAAGGACCCTGGGGCCCAGACCCCACCCCCCACCCCTTCCTTCTCTTCCTTGGGCAGCTCCTTTCTTCCTCCTCACAACCCACTCCAAGCCTGAAGACCCCCTCCCCCCTGAGCAATGCCAGGACCCAGGCTCCTCTCCCTCCCCACCCTGCCCCCGTCATGCCCCCTGAGAAGCCCTGCATCTCTGTCTAGTTGTGCCCACGTGGAAGACTGTGCTGGCCCAACACATGGGAGGCAGCCGCCTGGGGTGGAAGGAGCATAGGACCTGGGTTTGAATCCTGGCTCTGTCACTCATCTGACCTCCTGAGGTGGTTGTGGTCTAGTAGATAGAGCACTGGGCCTGGAGTCAGGAAGACCTGGGTTCAAATACTGCTGCACCCGCTTGCTGACAGCTCTCTCATCCTCAGTGTCATTCTCTGTAAAATGGGGGGCTGACCAATGATCTTCAAAGCCCCTTCCAACTCTAAGTTAATGTTCCCAGGAGTCACAGAACCTTTGTGGGTCTCACTTTCCTCCTTTGTTAAAATGAGGGATTTAGACAGACGGTCTCTGAAGCCTTGGCCAGCTCTCGTCCAAATCCATACTGAGATCTGGAGCCTACAGCCCTGGCTCTGGGGCTGACTCACTCCCTGTGGGACCTTCTCTGGGCCTCACTTTTCTCTTCTTTAAAATGGGTGACTTGGACTCCATGGTCACCTCCACCTTTAAATCCTGTTATCTCATAAGAATCTTGACCTTTACCGGCCTTCAGAGGCCTCCAGCCAGACTCTTGGTATTCTCTCAATGTCCCCAAGCCCCTTGTAATGATTCCGTCCCACTGCCCGTTCAGCACCCCCCCAATGTGGACAGCTCACTGAGATTCCCTATGCTTTGTCCTCCCCCCAAATCAGGACCTTCTCTGGCTTCTGCTGTGTGACTCTGGGGAGGTCACTTCACCCTTCTAAGCCTCAATTTCCTATCTGTAAAATGGATCCTGAGCCTGTCCTTCTGACCCCAGAGTCCGCCTCTGGCCTCCCGTTCACCTCCTTCCTTGCCTTTGTCTCGTAGCAGACTCCTGACCAAGACTCCGGTGCTTGGATGGGAGGTGGATAGGTCAAAGGATGGGATATCTGGGCGCTGGGCGAGGCAGAAGGCCTGTGGGGACTGTTGGGGAAGCTGGGGGCAGGGTGGAGCGATGCATTTGGAGTTGGGGGACCTTTAGCGAATCCCTTCCCTCACTTGTAGAAGAAGGGGCTTGGACGAGGTTTTCTAGAAAGTCCCTTTCCCTTGACTTCAGGACTCCTGGTTCTCAGAAAGTGCCCTCTGTGCTCATGCTCCTAGCCCCCTCCTGTCCCCAGGAACCTTGGGGGTAAGATTCAACAGATTGACAGTTGCAGCTATATCATCTCAATTGACGTAGCCTCACTCCAGCCCACTGGGACCAGTACCTCAGGTATTATTATTCCCATGTTACAGATATGGAAACTGAGGCTCAGATGAAATGCCCAGAGTCATGAAGCTTATGATCCAGAGCCAGGATCTGAACCCTTCTTACTCCAAGTCCAACACTCTTTTACACTTATCTGCCTCACAGATGAATCCAATGTCCTCACATTGCAGTGTAGGGAGAAGGAAGAGAAGATGGTCCTGTGGTCAGAGTGGAGCTGGGCAGGCAGTGACAGCTGATGCTGATGCATCAGGAGCTGGCAGGGCAGGGGGAGGGGGCTACAGGTGAAGGTGAAGGAGATGAGATAAGAGTGAGGAGTGAGGCAAACCAAGGGATTCTGGGAGAAAACACAGGTGTGGGTGTGGGTGTGGGTCTGTGCATGTATTCGTGTTTGGGGGCGTAGGGGAGAGAGAGAGAGAGAGAG